CGCTTGTGGACATCAGGTGAGTGCCCCCTTGCCCACCCTGCTGTCCGAGGCCTGGCCAGGGCCAGGCGGTCAGCCCAGGGCTGGGTGTGCCAGCCTCCGGAGAGCCTCCCTGCCTGCCCCTGCTTGGGACCAGTGCCCTCTCCGGGACTCGGGTGCCTTTGTAGCTCCCACCTGTCCTGCCAGAGGTGGGTTTTGGACTCCGGGCCTTCAGTGTAGAAAACCTGGCGCTGCTGGGGAACCAGCAGTTAGCATAACAGCTATGTCGCTGGACTCCCACGTAGAGGATCGCAGTTCGCGTCCCGGACCCGGTGGCTTAAAACTCACACCGGGCGCGTGTGCGTGTGTGCCCAAGATCCCGAGAGGAGAATGGAGGAGAAGGGATGGCGGAGTGGCCATCCCCCCTGGGGGATGATTTCTCGCTTTCTGTCTCTCTGTCTCTCTCTGTCTGTCTGGCTAGCGCACGCGCCCTATAGCGAAAACCTCTCAAAAAAAAAAAAGAAAAGAAAAGAAAACCTGGTGCTGCTCACCCTCAGCTCCTCCTGCCGGGCTCCCAGGACTCAGAGACGTGCTCTCTCCCTGGGGCGGGCCCTGCATTGCTCTGCCTCTGACCTGAGGTTGCCTGTTAGGACCTCAGGGCCTCAGGGGATGGTTCTGCCTTGACCTGCCTGGCCACATGGCCCTTGACATGCCTCATCTCCAGCTGGTTGATCCCAGGTGGTTTCTAAGGTTGAGGCTTGCTTACCTCCTGGTCTAGACTGTGACAGAATTCATCGCTGCTGGAAGGGGAAGCTGGGTTCAGGAAGTGTTTTGTCATGTGCTCAGACTGGTAGTCTCTTGTGAGCCTCTTCAGACCTTGGGTCTAGTCCTGCAGGGTAGCTGTCCAGTGCCTGTGTCCATAGGCCTGTCCCAGGGCAGCCCTGGCATGCAATGCCTTTGTTAACCTGGGGGTGAGGTGATGGGAAGAGTAGAGGGAACTGGATTCAGGTCAGGGAGTGATTCACACCAAGGTCAGGCCATCGTCCGGCTTGGTGACTACGGAGAAGGGGCCTGCGCTCTGTGGATCTCAGGCTGCCTGTTCCCCAAGAGGAGCGGGACTCACTTCGACCCCAGGGAGGCGTGGGCATTCGGGCAATGTGAGCGAGTGGCTCCCGTGTGTCGGGATGATGTGAGCGGAAGCCCAGCCACACAGCAGAGCGGCCAGCTGTGCAGGCGCCATGCTGCAGCTTCCGGGACCCGCACGGTTCCAGGCCAATGTCTGTTCATGGTGACGCGTCCAATCCCAGAGTGGTGGTGCTCTGCCTCGGAGTGTAAACCCCTGCCCCACACAGTGCTGCTGAGGACAGCCGCCCGGGTGCGTGCCCGCCTGGCCGAGTCACCCACACGCCCTCATCTTCGTGGGGGACGGCCGTCAGGGTCCAGGTGCTGCTGTCAGCCCTCTTTCAGGCTCGGCCAGGACATGGGGGTCCTCTTGCACACGTGACTGTGTGAGGAAGGCAGAGCCCTGGGCTGTATCTCCCGCGGCAGTGGCCTCGGGTCCCGCTCTGCCAGTGTGAGCCTGGGGGAGCCAGGCCGGGTGGGCCCCAGCCTCCCTGGCCTGACACCGCGTCTCTCTTTCCTCCTGCTGCCGCCGTCAGGGCTCACCCACTCTCACACTCCTTTAGGTAAGACGCCCGGACACCCGGGGGCCGTGTGGGCCGTGTGGGCCGTGTGGGCCATGGTGGGAGGGTGTGTTGAGACCACTCCCCGGGCACCGTGCGGCCAGTGCCCATAGGAGCTAGCACTCCCTTCCAAGTGTGTCACAGCAGGTGTGTCTGCCCTCCACGCCAGACTGTGGGAGGGGCCGGGGCCCTGGCTGCTCTGCTCTTTCCACCTCCGTGCAAACACGGTTCCTTCTGCTGGAAAGCGGTCCTGGTCCCCAGGCTGAGCTTTGTCTCTGTTGCTGCCTGATAGCTCCTGCGTGTCCCCCCCCAGAGCAAGCGGTGGCTCGGTCTTGTCACGGCATCTCCTGATGGACCGCAGAGTCTGTGCAGGGCCCCGGAGCCTGCCAATTGCCATGCCACCTCAAGTGCAGGCCCGGTTCCCTTGCTTTCTGTCTGGCCCGCACCGGCCACACCCCGGGG